TACTGATTGCGATATGGCCTATACAATGACCCGTGGGGACTGGCCGATGTACGGGTCTATGTTCTTATCCTCTCAGTGTCAGTTTACCGTGCTAGGAGGTTAAAGGGTTTGGTTGGCCGCGAGAGCCAATCCAGGATTTAACCCCGGACCATGCGCGTGTATGCGTGCCACTAGCCACAACACACCTCCGCCTGAAAAATCACGGTAATGTTGGCGGGAGAGCATGTATTCTCCTCCCTCCCCCAGACTTTCTCCTTCACTACGACATTGTTAACGGACTACCACTACGAACTCCAGAATGTTCGCATCCTAATCTAATTTTACCAAGATCAAGTTGCACTGTCCAGCTGGACGGCGGAGGGAGGGGAGGGCGCGGTAGAAACCAAGAAGAACTGTCGGAAACGTTTTCCCGTGATCATATACAACCCTAGCTGTTTTTTCTACTCATCGGAAGATACCTCGTTTGCAGCGCTTGCTTCGGTGCTATCGTCGCTGCATGGATATAACGGTTCACGCTCAGGTGGCCCAGGTAGCGTGATCGCGTTCGTGTCGCGTAAATGGGAGTCTTCCCGGGAGGCAAGGTGTGGAACAACCGGAACGCTACGCAGCTCTTACGTGATCAGATCGTGGACAAGAGAAAGACATCCCGTGCAGGACAAGTGTAGGCCCCGTCGCCCGTGCGTATAACATGAAAGGTGCCCATACCGAGCTTTTCCATCGCATTGCAGTACGAGTGGAGACTCAAAAAGGGAGCAACTACTCGAAAATTCCGAAAGATGTGAAAAATGGGTTTCTCACCTGCACCAGCAGCTGCAACCATGGCTTTGTCTATAGCTGCGGTCCGCTCTTCGGGTTTCCTCCAGTTTTGTGCGAGGAGATATCGGACACACTGAAGAATTCTTGTGGGAGTTCTCCATTATTTTCACTTTTTTTCCAGACGATTTGCTTTTCGTTTACACTTTCTTACCTTCTCATGTCCGTTACGCGCACCTTCAACGAGGGCGGTTGTAGCTGTTTTCATGCCATCCAAAGGAAGAAGTAGCGGCAGCACGATATCCAATGACCTATGCTTGGGTAGCAACTGGTAAGCGGCGGAGATCGACTAAAAGGCTCTTGTTTGTGATCGCTTCATTGCAAGTTTTTATTTGCTTATATTATTTAAACGGCAGCAGTGAAAAATGTCTCAGTGCTATTGCCAACAAAGTTCTGTAGCGTGTTCTCTGGATGAAACAAGCACCCCAGTTGGTTGATGAACAAGTTGATCAGATGAGCGTTGCCAGCCGCAACGGCCTCCTGCATTGCTGACACTGAAGCCGATGGGTCAACGTAGTTTACGTCTGCTCCGGCCATGAACAACAATCTGGTCAGCGCTTTGGCAGTGGAGAGTATCTTATAGATTTGTCAGGTCGCTGTATGATTTGTCCATTGGTAATACTAAGGCTGTGATCTGATAGCTTGCGCAGAAGTTGTGATTCAAAGACACCTTCTCCGATAGTTGGGTGGGCGAAGAAGTGGCCGCACGCTATTGATTTATTGATCACGTGGGCTCCAGGGCACGCCATCTTTGTGATCATCACAACGGGGGGGGGGGTCGTATTTGCCCGCGATGGAGGGGGGGTCGTAAACGCATGGCCCATGTTGAAGTGGAGAGAGCGGTGATACACGGTACAAGTGAAAAGAAGCTCAAAAGGGACGATGTAGATGACAAAAATAGAACTAGGCACTATCGAACCCTATTCTTAGCCAAGAACTAAAAAATAATATTGCTGAAACTTTTTCCTCCTTCCTCACAAAAAAAAACTTCAAGACACTTCGCCCACCAACCCTCCTCATCTGGTCTAGATGAATCCGGCAACTCCACCTAGAATTCGCAAAATCTAGAAAGATCCGTTGCAAACAGCTACCTTCATGAACCCGTAGTAAGATATGACCTGACAATCTCCTCACAACAAAAATCAAACTAACAAAACCAAGCAATCAAAATAATTCACCCTCAAATGGATAACGAAAAAAAAATCAGCGCCACTGGCAACCGGAACTCGATAGATATCTTCGGAATTGTTGGCTGCTCGGTCATGCGCCTCGATAAAGCCTCATTTGGTGCGCGCTATTTTATTAGCGGCCTGGAGCCAATTTCAAGCCAAACACGTGAAAAGTACCCCTCATTTGAACACCCATAACTTCGTTGAAAGTGAAGCTATCGGAGAGGGGTAAGTGGGAATGAGTAGAGCTAGGTTGGCTCTTATCACCTGAATTGAGCGATTTTCAAACGCTTCGCGATTCCAGAGATTGTCCCGTTGCGTATCATCGTTGTTGATCCGTCTGTGACTCACTTTTTGCGAAGGCCCGCCCCCCCCGCGTCGCTACGCTTGGACGTCCATGCACAAGCTTCAGATACAATGGCGCTTTCGTAAAAAAAAAGAATTGTGCCGGAAAGCTTGAAGATTTCTACTTCCAGCAAGGCTTTAATTTTCTTCCTAGGCCTGCTATTCGAAAAATTCCCCGTTGTGATCATTTCGTGACCACCCCCCACGACACGAAAAATCAGCCCCTCCGAGGCCATGAAACCTCCAGTTGGCTTGAAGACTTTGGTATGCTTCTAAAACACATGTTTTCGCAAAGGGTATCAGGAAATAGGCCATTGGGCGCCAATTGGCATCACCTGGTGGGCAATGCCCATGCATGGGCTTTCACGCAGGTGTTTGAAAGGTGTAACTTCTAGATAGGGCTTCCCAATTGCAAGCAAATGTGCTCCTACGATCAGAAAAGTCCGGGAATGTACTTTCATCTGTTTATTAATCGTCACGTCGTGAGTCCTCTTGTTTGTTTATAAATTCATGGTGCCCTGAGCACACAAGTTGTGGGCCGTGATCGTAAGCTCCGCTATCATCGCCGCTGTCCTCGTACGTTTGTTCAGTATGCTACGCGGCAGCGCCCCGTAGTGCTGTGAACGTGCTTTGGGGGGACGTTACATAGGTACTGCGACCTCCCCGCTCGACAGCAAAATTTTGTAAAAAAACCAGAAATTTTGGGAAAAAATAGACAAAGTGGTAGGAGGTTGGAAAAATCTAGGGAAGAGGTAACATGGGGAGGGGGGTCGTACTTGAAGATGGAATTAGGGGGGGTCGTATTTTTCAGGAAATGATCACAACGCAATGGCGTGCCCTGGGCTGAGCCGTGCCAGGACCATGCTGAGCATAGCGCCACGAATAGCTTGTGAATTTCTCGGTCTAGAATGACTATGATATGCTGAACCTATTCCCTGCTGACCAACAAAGTCACTGGTTTCCTTGGGGCAAATTCTGTACTACCTGTGATGTCTCTCTCGCCCTTTTCGCAATTGCGCTCATTATGAACTCCTCACAAGAGCGCCCTACTACTTCTCATACAGGGCACGTCGTACATTAGGGATCCGAGCGAGTGGAGGCATACTTGGTAGCAGTGGGAAGAGATCGTATTAGCCTTCGATGAAATGAAAAAATATTCGAGTGCGCTGTATGTGTCATCCCTCTCCACCCTCGACGTCAGTTCCCGTGTAAAAATTGAGGAGTTCGCCGGAAAAAAGCTGGGAGGAAGATAGTGGGTATGGAAAGGGGAGATATCGTATAGGAGAAGGAACTGTTGGGGGGGGGGGGGTGAGAGGAGGATCGCATTTTGCGAAAAGTGGCTGCCTAGCAAACTTTTACCCGAGCAGTCTCTCTGAGGTTAGTCTCGCCAGTATTGAGCTATCGATTCCAAAAAAGAAGTAAATATGCTGAGGTATCAAAACCTTTAAAGCTAATTATAAAGAAATTACACAGTAGTATTTGCCAACCTTAGTATTGGGGAAATACATATTCCGATGGTTGAACAACGCTGTTCTGATGTCTTGCGAACATTGCTTTATCCAGTGGACCTGACCATCTTTCAAAGAGGTGAACTGAAAGAATTGCCATAGAA